TAAAATACTGTTTAATAATAATATAAAGCAATAAGCTGGTAATACTATAAAGCCACAACACTAAAAAGCTCACTATATCAATAGCTGCCACAGGACTCTTCATGGAAATCAAATTTTGCTGCCCAGGGCTTTTTTTTTACTTCCTAGCATTTTGGGGTGTTGTGGTCCTCACTATGTCTACAATCCACTGGTTGTCATGAGCCAAGTGTTCTTAGAAGACTTAATCCTGAATCTGTGACTCAGCAAGTTAGGGATTCCCACTGCTTTTCTATGAATATTTTTGCAGTCTAGCTGTTTATACATGTGATACAAATGAGTTAAGAACAATCACAATGATACAGAACAAAAAAGATTTGTGCCACTGTTCAACCTCCACTATGGACATTGATAAAAAAAGACATGTACAGATATGTAGAACCAAGCAAGGTGGCACAGCATAGAATGAATGCCAAGATGCTGAACTCCTGCACTGTAGAAGTTTGTTTGGTCTGACTTCAGACAATCATGGTGTAGTCTTTTCAAACTTCACAATGGTCCAGTTAGTAAACGTTCTGACTTTAGCACAGAAGTTGTGTTGTCTAGCTTGCAGACTGATCATAATTGCCACTTAGCTTTTCTTGTTCAATATGTAGCTGTGTTTTGCAACTATGTACACCTGTACCTCTAAAGTCAGAGGTGCATATACTGTGAGTCAGGATACCAAATATGCTTCCACTGTTGGTTTTTGGCTTTTCCTGATTATTGAATGACATTCATTCTATTAGACTCTGTTGTAAACCATTTATATTTTTAGGTTATAAGTAATGACTGATCAGCAGTGTGTGTTCATTAAAGGCAAAATCCAACTTTACACACCTCTTCGACCCCCCTACCTGAATCGCAGGGTTCTTCTCCTCTCCGGCTGTGAATTTTTTAATCCGTGTCATGCCAGTTTCAAACCACTTACCTTCTACAAGTGAGGAAAATCTCAAACATATACAGTATAAGAGAGCTCTGTGAGTACTATGATGGAATTCTGAATTATGCAGTTATTGGCACCTCATATCTTTAAAAGGGTAAAGTAGTTCTAACCACATTCTGAATGCATGCATTATGTAGATGTTGTCCCGGCAAACAGTTAGCATAAAGCTTTCTCTTTCCAGCTGCTTGGCTTGCATAGGTCTGGCTAAGTGCTGGTTTCCCCTGACTCCATGGGGTTGATTTATTATATAAAATAGAAGATGTTCACTTTGCAAAGTGTGTGTTTACTTTGGAAAGGGAATTTTAGTAAAGTAGGTTAACCCGTGTTCTTTTTTAAATGCCTAACCATGTGTAAGTTACTTAAAAAAGGACAGGATTTTTGTTTGCATGTGATCTGATGATTGAAGTGAAAACAGCTTTAGCTTGATGACAGGGTCAGCATTATGTTGATTGACATTGAACAACTTCAATGCTTCAAAGCCTTCCTATGCTTTATCTCAGGGTAGGCACCCTCATTTGAGCAGTTAGGCTGACCAACTCTGAACCACGCACATGTATATGGGTTGTACAAACGGAAACAACTTTTACTTTAAAAACCAATTGGGAGGAGGATATGGGCTCATCTATATCCGAAACTGATTGGTCAGCAATCTGGAGGAACATAAACTCTTGTTCTCGAAATATCCTAACACAGGAAAACTCCTATAAAGTATTGTTCCGCTGGTATTACACACTGTCCCGCATCCACACATTCTTCCCCTCTCACTCCCCTCAATGTTTCAGAAGGTGTGGACATCTAGGCACTATGAAACATATTTGGTGGGACTGTTCTAAGGCTAAACATTTATGGACCTGAATTTATGCTCTAATTAATACTGTATTGAGGTGTAACCTGATCAAAAATCCGTGGGAAGCGATTCTACATAAGCTCATAATGGGTTAAACGCAAAAATCAACAATGCTTGATAACCAACATATTCATGGCCACTAAACAAACCATTGCTAGATCCTGGAAATCCCTTGTGCTTAGTTATATGAAAGTTAAAAACCGCATCACTGGTGTGATGATTAATTAACAACTTACAGCTATCTTGGATGGTTCCTACACTAAATTTGAGATGATTTGGGAGGCTTGGATCACCTATGATAGTTCGTTGAACTTTGACCCAGTCCATCTACAGATTTGATGGAATCTCCTGCGAAATGTGTTAAGTGCCTACCTGCCCTACTAAAGTTTAAACCTATTTAATGCAATATCCCCCTTTTCCTGTTTTCACTCTACATATTACCTACTACTCCCAATGGACAGTCCTAGCCCATATTCCACCCTGTTTTCGTTCAACCATGAGGCTTAGACCTCCAGAGTCAGACTACAGTGGTTCCCTCTATTGGCGTGTGATCCATGTAACCAACGGTCCTACTTGGTTGTTCATTTCTAAATATTATATTTTACCATATCTAATCACCATAACATTATCTGACTACTTTGTCTATACTTTCAAAACTATTTAAGTATGTTTCCTGTTTTATTGTAATGTCTATTTGAAAACAATAAAAACATTTGTGGAAAAAAACAAAAAGCGGTACAGCTTCATACTTTATTTTTGCCAGTACGGCATTTGCTTAGTATCTGCATAGAACGTGTAGCTAAAACTAGATTCACCATTTAACTATCTAACTGTTAAGGTCATCTATAGGTAAGGGGAAAAGATTACTTAAAGCAGATTCACACCTATAAAAACGCACACACAAACACATTATTGCCTGTATTTTATCCCATGTTGTGTGCACTATGATGCAATTTTAGCTTGCTTTGTTATTGTTAAGAAAATTGTCATACGGGGGTCCCTTAGACCCCTTATCAATTGACTACAACACTGCCTATGTTAAAGTTTATCTAAACCCAAGGAAAAAATGTAATATATTGGGAGTGGTCAGTGATGGCTGCATTAGTTTTCTTTTTTTTTTCTCAACCTTTTCCCCTTATTTTCACCTGGTGATCCTGCCCGTAACCCATTTCCTTTCCTAAAGTGACAACATTTACCCACTGTACTGTATCTATGAAGGAGCAGTGTGGTCACCATAGAACAGGAGATGTGTTAGGACTATAGAACACCTACCCCTCTCCTCATTTCTTTAGCGTAGGGGGTTTTCTGTAGTTAACAAAGCTTATATCACACTGCCTGAGATAA